AAAAGGGGTAGGGACAAGACAAGGGTATGGGGTTAAGAGATACAAACTATCATGTATAAAATAAGCAGCAAGGATAAACTATCAGGGGAATATTGCCATTATTTTGTAATAACTGTAAATGGAATATAATCTATAAAAATATTGAATCACTATGTTGTACACCTGAAACTAATATAATATTGTAAGTCAATGATCTTTCAATCAAAAAAGAAAGACTTTTTCAGACAAACAAAATCTGAGAGAATTCACCATCACCATCCCTATACCATAGAAAATGTTAAAGGAAGTTCTTCAGACAGAATAAAAATACCAGAAAAAATTTGGAACCACACAAAACAATGGTAAATATGTGGGTAAATATAAAACATGTTTCACAGCAATTAAAAATGAAAATTTAATTGATTATTTAAAACAAAAATATTAAAAATGTATCATAAAGCTTTTAACATATAAATGTAAAATGTACAACAGCATGCAGAGTAAGAGGGAGGAAACAGATGTATATACTTTTTTAAGCTTCTTAACTGTATATGTGAAGTGGTTTAAGGAAAAACGTGCTCCAAAAAAAAGTGCCTCTCGCTGAAAGATTCAGTGAATGGAACATTTCAGACAGAACTGAAAACAAATATAAAGACCTAGAGGAAGAGGTACAGTTTGGGTATATGAAGATCAGTGAAGAGCTATGATATCAGGAGCTGAGTGAGACCACAGGTAAGCAGTTAAGAGATGAGGCCTAGGGGACTTCCCTACTTGTCTGGTGGTTAAGACTGCCTTCCAAAGCAGGGAGTGTGGGTTCGATCCTGATCAGGGAGCAAAGATTTTACATGCCTTGTGGACAAAAAGACAAAACATAAAACAGAAACAAGATTGTAACAAATTCAGAAAAGACTTTAAAAATAGTCCACATTAAAAAAAAAAAAAAGAAAAGAAAAGGGATGAGGTCAGAGCACGGTAGGCCAGGTAGGTAAACCATGCATGGAAGGTAAACCATGTTAATGACTTTGGAAGGCTTATAACACCCAATGTCAAAGTAAAATAAAGGCAATTTATTATAGACCAGTATTTAAATATTAGTCAGAACTCAATCATCATGTCTACTAAAAATGCCAGAAGTTAAAAAAGGAAGGAGAGGACTTCATAATTAACATGGTAAACAGATCCCTACTCATTAGAACCCCTAAATTATGTCCCTGAAGTTACTTCACTAATTCACAAAGGTCGTATGAAATTGATTTTTATGGATAATTATGTTGAGGAGGATCTCTGTCTCATGATATGAAGTACTGCCTACACATAAATGTCAAGAGCCTAAATCCTCAGTCTGGGCAGAAGAAGGGATGAGAAGGGATAATTCTCTTTTTAGTTATCTAAAAAGAGAAGTGCCAATTTTGTCCACCTTTCTTTTATGTGTGTGTCTCTCTCCCTTTCAGTGTTAAATGCTATTAAAATGATAAACAGAGGGCTATACAGAACACAAAGAAAATGTTGAAAAAAGGACTGCATCAAAAACATAAAATGATCCTTAAAAATTGAACTTGAGAATTCTGTTAATAGATTAAGAGAATTAACAGAATTCTCAAACCTAAGTTTTTACTTAAGTAAAAAGTATCAAACAAAAAAGTACTTGTTTCCTTCCTTAACAGCCCTTTGACTACAGTCCTTAAGTAATTGAAAGGGAGTATCTGATTTAATATCCATCCTCACCAGGACATAAGCTCCAAGAATGCAGGCAGTGTGCACTTCTGGCTCCCTGGTATCCAACACATTGTCTGTCCCACAAGCGGTAATATATGTGTGGCAAATAATTGGATCATGATAACACTGTAAGATAGTAATTATTACCTTTTTATGATTGCAAATGCTGAAGCAGAAAATTTGAAGTGTAAATGATCAACATGGAATCTACTATAAAGAATGTCAGCTATAATAATAATAAAATATTCAAGGAAAAAACTTTTCCTAGCTTCAATAAAATTTTATATCATATAAATATAGTAACATCTCAAAGATACCTGGATATTGATATATTCTGGCTCATATTATATGAGCCAGTGCATTCTCCCATTAACAGACTGTTATAAACCAACCATTTGAAGTATATGTTTTAAGCTGAATATGCCATTTTAAGCTGAAGAAAAATTATAACCATTACTAAAAATTACTCACAAGACTAGTAATTAGTCTGGAATAAAGTAGTTTTTCCCTTCCAAAAAGTCCCTCTGTTCTTTCTCCTAAGTAGGTTCTTTTATTATTATTACAAAATTTAATTAATAATTATAGAGGATATCTTACTGAGATTAAACAGAAGAAAGTACATCAACACCAATCATTCTGAGCTGTTCTGACATTAAAGTATAATATTGCTACTGGCATTCAAATTCCTGATTTCTCAGGAAAAATGAGACATCCACCCAGTGATACATGTATCTTAATCTCCAGAATCCTGAGTTAAAAAAATTCCATGAGTAAATGTATACTATATAAAAATTGCATGTATGGCATTTATAAAACACAACATATAATGTTGTACACATGAAGCTCATGTATAATATAAACCAATGTTATCTCAACAAAAAGTAAATTTAAAAAGATAAGCTTTTTTATTTTTTTAAGTTGTTTACCAACAGGAAATATGACCTACCTCAGATATGTATATAAAACATTAATGTACTCAACTACTACTTGTTACCAAATTCAATACTACCTGATGTTGTAGGAGAATATAACTCAGGATCAAAGGTACTGTGAGATAAGTATCCATGAGTCTCTCTATCTTATAAACAGTAAAACTATAATATAATGTGCATTAACAAAGGTAGTTGCTTTTAACTATATATTTAAAAGTTAATGTAACACATAAAAGAAGGGAAATGTAAAAAAGAAAGATTTTTAAAATGGAAAACACTTGTCACTGGTTGAATAAATGATGTTAAGAAGACACTTTAAAATTTCTTCCATTCTGGATAAGGAAGCTGTGGTACATATACACCATGGAATATTACTCAGCCATTAAAAAGAATTCATTTGAATCAGTTCTAATGAGATGGATGAAACTGGAGCCCATTATACAGAGCGAAGTAAGCCAGAAAGATAAAGACCATTACAGTATACTAACACATATATAAGGAATTTAGAAAGATGGTAACGATAACCCTATATGCAAAACAGAAAAAGAGACTCAGATGTATAGAACAGACTTGTGGACTCTGGGAGAAGGCGAGGGTGGGATCTTTCAAGAGAACAGCATCGAAACATGTATATTATCTAGGGTGAAACAGATCACCAGCCCAGGTTGGGTGCATGAGACAAGTGCTCGGGCCTGGTGCACTGGGAAGACCCAGAGGGATCGGGTGGAGAGGGAGGTGGGAGGGGGGACCAGGATGGGGAATACACGTAAATCCATGGCTAATTCATTTCAATGTATGACAAAAACCACTGCAATGATGTAAAGTAATTAGCCTCCAACTAATAAAAATAAATGGAAAAAAAAAACAAAAACAAAAAAAGAAAAGGCATAACTCTAAAATGAAGAAGATGATAAGATTAAAGTTTGAAAAGCTGTAACAATAGGAAAAGCACTTTGGTTCCTCTAAAGAAGGGTAGAACACTACCAGTATGCTAAATGCAAAATATAAGATTTCATCATCAGTCTTTCACTATGTAGGACTAAACAGGAGAAAGGCTCAGGCCAGCTCCTGGACCAGTGCCTTTTTCCTTTTCTAGAGTAGGTTGAGGACTTCCCTGTTGGCTCAGTGCTAAAGAATCCACTTGCCAATGCAGAAGATACGGGTTCAATCTCTGACGCAGGAGGAGCCCACATACTGCAGAACAACTAAGCCTATGCCCCACAATTACCTGCAACTATTAAAGCCCCTACGCCCTAGAGCCTGTGCTCCCCAACAAGAGAAGCCACGATGATGAGAAGCCTGTGTACCACAACCAGAGTAGCCCCACTCTTGGCAACTTGAGAAAAGAACCATGCACCACTGAAGACCTAGCACAGCCAAATATAAATAAATAAATTTTAAAAAAATTAGAAATAAATGTTTTAAAAACTAGGTTAAAAGGAAAGGGTGTAGAGAGATGAGGAGAGGGGAATCTAGTCTCACTATCAGGGTGAACTTTACACAAAAAGGAAAAAAAAAAGAGCAAAATGCCCTATAAAGCATTATGGGTGATGAGGCAGGCCACCAGCACAAATGTATCTAATTTGATAAAAGGGGAAGGAAACTAACTTTGATTAAATATCTGTCATGTGTTAAGGAACAACACTTGGTTTATTTGAATACAGTCTTGCCTTCAAGAATGAATTTCATTGCTCTCTAAACAGTTCCCCTTAAGTCTTACTATTTATTCACTCTTCACTGTATTTTCAGATGATTCTATCTGCATTTGTATCATTAAATAGACTATGCTATGAAATAACTGCTATGCAACTACATCAAGAACTATTTGCTCTCAACTTTTTAAAGCATTTTCAACAGTCTTCTACCTGGAGAATATTATATCCATGTGCTGTGCTTATTCGCTCAGTTGTTTCAGACTCTTTGGGACCCCATGGGCTGTAGCCCACTTGGGCTACAGGCTCCTCTGTCCATGGGGAGTCTCCAGGCAAGAATACTAGAGTGGGTTGCCATGCCCTACTCCAGGGGATAGTCCAAACCCAGCAATCGAACCCAGGTCTCCCGCACTGCAGGCAGATTCTTTACCATTTGAGCCACAAGGGAAGCCTATCAAAATGTGTCAATATCTCAGCAAAGTGATTTTTGGGTTTCTGTATATTTTTATTCCATAAATAAAATAGCATCATATTTTAAAAACTGACCCACTGGCTCTCAGGGATAAAAATACTCCAGTCATTGGTATGATCAGTTGTCAACTGGCAGAACTGTGAATACTTAAAGGAATACTTTCATGATTATTAATTATACTGAGATCTATAAAATCTGATATACACAAGTTTTCAGTACCAATGCTTTACATTTAACTTCAGTACTTACATTATACTCAGACACTACTCCTTTATAAACTTCATGAAACTCTTCAACATTAATCCGATCCATGTTAAACTATATTTTTAAAAAAAGAAAAACATAAGTCAACCAAAAAAATAGAATGAATCACACTTAGCACTCAATATTTATGTTCTCTCAGATATATTTTCTTTAATATTTAAACCCTGAAGAAATTAGTCTTTGAAGAAGTGTTAAAGTTCAGTCCATCAATAATAAATTATTGTTTATCAAAACTTTCTTGCCTCGGGTAGATTCTGAGGTACTTCTGCTGCCTTGGAAGACATGGAAGCAGTGACACTCCCTGGTTCGGTGTCATCTCCTTACAGATTCACACATGGTACAGTGGTGGGAGCAAGATTACCATTGTTTCTTTTCTGATGTATGAGGAAAGAATGGCTGTGCCTCATGTACTGCTTCTAGTGAAATCTAGAAGGAGGCTCAAAGGAGTCAACATTTAGATCTGGAAGGGGCAAGTCATGCCTTGGGCCTAGAATACCCTGATGAGAAAAGAGAAGAGGAAGGGAGGCCACATCTACCACACAGCCTCTCGTCACTGCTGCTCCTTGTTTTTACTTGTCTTGCATTGTCCTGTATTTATCACAGTTTCTGTTGAACAGCTTTTTAAGTATTGGGGGAGTTTATCTTGCCATCCTCTCCCTCCTGGTTCTCTGCACCCACCTGTCCCACTGCAGTTCCTTCTGTGTTCTGTGACTTTAAGAGAAGAGGGGGGAGGGGTCTCGGATTTTGTTCATTTGTTTGTTTATTTTCTCCTTAGCAGTAGGACTTGATATTTTCAATTTTGGAAAAACTAAAAGATAAATAAACTGTGGTTTTTTTTTTAAAAAAAAAAAAAAAAAAAATAAGAACTTGTTTGTAACATTTATCGAGTACTTAATATATCAAGCATTGTTCCAGGTGCTGTTCGTGTACTATCTTATTTAATTATAACAATCGCCCTACAATATAAGTAATGTTAACAGCTCCAATTTACAAATGAGGTGAAGACTCAGTGGGGTAATATAACCTTCACTACCTGGCATTCCATCTCTAACTGTCTGATCCCACTGATTGGGCCCTCAACTACTACAATCTATGTTATTGGAAAAAAACCTCATTCTTCATACAAAAAAAGACATAGGCACAATTTAATTTTGTTTATCAATAGATCAGTGGCAAAAGAAAGCAACATTACCAAAGAAAATTTCTCCAAATTTTGCAGAGGGGCCTGTAAATAATACCCTTATCCTCCCAGGCATTCAGAAAAATCCCCTAGTTAGTCTGGCTCATAATAACGCACTGACACCATTCATCTGAAAATCCTACTATTCTTCAGAAAGAATTGTCAGAGTATGCTAGTAAGGTAAAGCTAAAAAGACTCACTCTTATCCAGGCTGGATTCAAACTTAGAAATAAAGTTTCATTAAGTTCTAGAGTCTCAAGAACCAAAACCTTAAATTTTTAAAAACTAGACACAGATTTTCCAATTTCGTTTTGCTCCCTACTCTGTCCTTTTAATGTTGCCAGGATTGAAGATCACGAAGCGTCTCCCTACCCAGACAACAGCTCAAACTATTTAGTATCGTGGTTCCGCTCAGTGCAGTCACTCAGCTGTGTCCGACTCTCTGCGACCCCGTGGACTGCAGCACGCCAGGCTTCCCTGACCATCACCAACTCCCAGAGCTTGCTCAAACTCATGTCCATCGCGTCAGTGATGCCATCCAACCATCTCATCCTCTGTGGTCCCCTTTTCCTCTCGCCTTCAATCTTTCCCAGCATCAGGGTCTTTTCCAATTTGAGTCACTTCTTCGCGTCAGGTGGCCAAAGTATTGGAGCTTCAGCTTTAGCATCAGTCCTTCCAGTGAATATTCAGCACTGATTTCTCTCAGGACTGACTGGTTGGATCTCCTTGTTGTCCAAGGGACTCTCAAGAGTCTTCTCCAGCACCACAGTCAAAAGCATCGATTCTTTGGCACTCAGCTTTCTTTGTAGTCCAACTCTCACATCCATACATGACTACTTGAAAAACCATAGCTTTGATTAGACGGACCTTTGTTGGCAAAGTAATGTCTCTGTTTTTTAATATGCTATCTAGGTTGGTCATAGCTTTTCTTCCAAGGAGCAAACATCTTTTAATTTCATGGCTTCAGTCACCATCTGCAGTGATTTTGGAGCCCAAGAAAATAAAGTCGGTCACTGTTTCCATTGTTTCCCCATCTATTTGCCATGAAGCAATGGGACCAGATGCCATGATCTTAGTTTTTTGAAAGTTGAGTTTTAAACCAACTTTTTCACTCTCCTCTTTCACTTTCCTCAAGAGGCTCTTTAGTTCTTTTTCGCTTTCTGCCATAAGGGTGGTGTCATCTGCATATCTTGAGGTTACTGATATTTCTCCCAGCAATTTTGATTCCAAATTGTGCTTCATACAGCCTGGCATTTCACATGATGTACTCTGCATAGGCAACATAGCTATTACAGGGAGGGAACATTGTTTGATTTCAATATCTTATTCAATATTCATACAACTTCTTATATTACTAATATAAAATAACAACAAGGTGAAAAGTGAAAGTGGTAGTTGCTCAGTCTTGTCTGACTCCTTTCAACCCCATGAACTATAGCTCTTCAGGCTCCTCTGTCCATGGGATTCTCCAGGCAAGAATATTGGAGTGGGCTGCCATTCTCTTCTCCAGGGGATCTTCCTGACCCAGGCATCAAACACTGTCCTGCTGCATTGCAGGCTGTTTCTTTACCATCTGAGCTACCAGGGAAGCCCCAATAACAAGGTATAATTTATTAAATATTTGGTAATTTGAACTGGAAATTCTTCAAAGTATTGTGTAGCATTATTTAATCCACAAAATAATCTATAGCGGCAAATAATATTATCATTGCCTAGTTGAGAAAACTGAAGATAAGAATGCTTAAAATCTGGCCAAAGTTTATATACCTAGAAAGTAGAAGATTCATGATCCAGAAATAGAGTTTACTGATTTCAAAACTCACAATGATTCTGATTACCATTAAACTACCATGCCTCCCCCATAAATTCAATTAATCTTTTTAAAACATATTATTCTTTTTTTTCACTGAGCACGTACTATGGGCAATCTCTATGCTAGGTTGTAAGCCTAGAGTTAGATTAATGTTTAATTCTAAAATGTCCACAATGATTACTACTTAAGCAGGCTTAGATCCCATAATCCTGTGGCTGACTACATCACCAAGCTAATACTTTGAGAACGCTGTTGCTAACAATTTCATTACAGTCCTGGGCAAGATTCTTCAAATATTAAATTTCTCATTTGTCTCCAAGCTGTGCCTGATAATTTGCAAACTAGCTGATACATCTAATCTTTTCTCACTTCATGAGCATTCGCACCAATCTGGGATACAAAATAGGCAGAACCCCAGTTAGTGCCCTGACCTCTGATCTGGGCTGATGCAAAGACTTCACAGAAATCAAAAGGAGTTCCTTTCCAGAGAAAGAGAAAATAAACTGGTATGAAAATTCCTTCCAGGACTGGTAATTCACTACCATAATAACACAAACTTGTTGGCTTTCAAAAACCGTAAAATGCAAATTATTAATTGGATTCCTATAATAATTGTACCAATTTATTTGTCAAGTGCAATGATAAGTGTACCACAAAGATAGAGAAGAGCTCTAAAGAAGTTAATATTGTTTCTTCAGTGAAGGGTTTCCTGGAAATGTGTCAGCAGAACAATTTTGAATGATTGTGGACTCCAGAGGCTTAATGGTGTGACTGCCAAGAGAGGGGATGAAATGTGCTAACTCTAAAGATCATGAGAGAAAGTCCAGAAACCAGCAAAGGTCCTGGTCAGGGAAAAAGCCAAATTGATTCTCTTCTTAGTCACAAATCCAGACAACAAAATTTCATTATAAGTACTTAGCTTAAAATTATTTCGTGTTTGGAGGAATTAAATGCATTGTTTCAGTCTGTATTTACTTTGCAACTAAAGTTCCAGGAATTATATAAATCTGCTTTATAAGCTTAAATTAGATGTACCATTGGACGGTTAGCTCTCAGTGAGGAATTATACTGGTAAAATCATTCAAAAATACTTTTTACTAAAAGTTATCATGTTCAACATACCTTTTTGCTTTTAATGTGTTGAGCTCACAAGTGCACAGAGAAAATTCAATGTAAAATGTATTAAAGCATACTGTAAACATACACACACACACACACAGAGTTCATCAGTAAGTTAATGACTCTTGCAAACTACCTACCATCTGCATAGCTGAGATTTCAAAACCTGCATCTCGGATAGTCATCAGGATCTTTCCCAGAAGTCCTGAAAATACAGAACAAATGAGTGCAAAATTACAAAATTTCTAAGGCATTTTAGCTTTATAGAAATGCAAATTTTCTATATCAAAGCATTTTGCTTAAACACTTGGGCTTCCTGGTTGGCTCAGACAGTAAAGAATCTACCTGCAATGCAGGAGACCCAGGTTTGATCTCTTGGTTGGGAAGATCCCCTGGAGAAGGGGGAATACTCCAGTATTCTCACCTGGAGAATTCCACAGACAGAGAAGCCTGACGGGCTACAGTCCACGGGGTCACAAAGACTTGGACAAGATCGAGCAACTAACACTTGCTTATACTATGTAAAAGTGAATCACATAAATTTGCCCAGGAAACTAGACCTCTAATACTGTAATCCCATTTGATTCAGTAATCCCATTTGATTTTGTAATCCCAAATGTTTAGTAAAGTGCTTCAGGAATATCATTCTTTTTAGTTTTGAAAACTATTTTTAAAATTTATTTTTAATTGGAGGATAAGTGCTTTACAATGTTCTGTTGGTTTCTGCCATACAACAACGTGAACCAGGCATAAGGATTCATATTTTACCTCCCTCTTGAACATTTCTCCCAGTCCCGCCCCCATCCTATCCCTCTAACTACTGCACCTTGTTGAGCTGTGTTATGCAGAAGCTTCCCACAAGCTGTTTTACACGTGGTAAGGTATATGTTTCAATGCTACTCTCTCATTTCATCCCAGCTTTGCCTTCCCCCACTGTGTCCGCAAGCCTGTTCTCCTCAAAACCAATCTTGAAGATTATGCAAAAAACGTTTAAGAACCTGAAGTCTAGTGATATAAAAACTACGAAAATCAAAGAGTTAAAGTAATATTGTAAAAAAGTGGTGTTAAAGTACCAGATACGGAAGGAGTCCAAAAGAAGTCACAGGCAGAGAAACGTCAAATTAAAACTGAAGAGGAGAACAGAAGCTTCAACGGGAAATGAGGGCAGGAACTAGCTCTTTAAGGTTATAGACAGATGGGATTATATAGGGACCACGGTATAAAAAGAGACAAGGCATAAAGCTGGGGAAAATGTGAACATGTGTACACAATAGTGCCTGCGGGTGTGCTCAGACACTTCAGTCGTGTGCCTTCAGACTGTTTGCGATCCCATGGACTGTAGCCCACCAGGCTCCTCTGTCCATGGGATTTTCCAGGCAAGAATACTGGAGTGGGTTGCCATTTCCTTCTCCAGGGGATCTTCCCAACCCAGGGATCGAACCCAGGTCTTCACTGGAAGGTGGATTCCCAGGTCACTGGCGCTACCCGGGAAGTCCATATATAATAGTAAGAGGTCAAAAAATAAAAAAACTAAAAAGGAAAAGAGATTTAACCCAAATTTATAAAGACTCTGGATGGCAACATGAAGAATTTGGTCTTTATGCCGCAAATAGCAATTTTTATAATGGTGGTTATAGACTCTGAACCTGTAGAACTGATTTTTGAGATTCCATGATGCTTCCCTAATTATCCCAAATAATTAGTATCAGTATCAAATAAGTAGTATCAGTGCCTGAATGTGTATTTTTATTTACTATCTTACTGCTGCCAAATAGGCTATTTTAATCACAGCTGGCTGAGGCATGAAAAAACAAACAAACAAAAAAGACAAGGACAGATCTATTTCTCAAAAGACACATTTATACCAACTGAAGGCCAAATGATATAACAGCATGCTTTAGAAAGAAAGGTTTCTCAGAAGTTTCAAGAGTACACTAGATCCCTGCCAAATGCAGAATACTTAGCGCCATATTCATGTTAACTTACTGATTTTCCACAAACATCTTTTGTCACATTAATGTTAACCTAAATTTTATCCATTTTATAATTTTGTTTGTAATGAATCTGTAAATTGTTTTAGTTATACAGCTGTATGTGCAAAAGTTTACATTTATTTGTATATGTGGACATCCTTAAGTTACATTACAATTAAAATAATTTATATCAAAAAAATAAAAAATAATAATTTATATCAACACTGAGAATCCAGTGAGAAAAATCTTCCTTCAAAAGTAACACAGCCAAAAGAAATGAATCATTGAAAATGTGAACAGGAGAATACAGGTAGATTATTAATGTAATAACAATGGGTGAGCTGGTATGAAGAAAAGAATAAAGGACAGAAAGAATAGCAAAGGCTGTTGACATCATCTACTCTGCTGATTGGACTTGCATGGTAGAAGTAAAGAAATAAAGAAGTAATGAATATAAGATATTTTTTTTAAAAAAAGTAATAAGACTAAAGTGAACATAGAGCATGAAGATGAAGGAATAAAGGATTTGAGTTTAAGTGACCAGAAGAATGATAGCACTTTTAAGATGAAAACAAGCTATGAAACTGAATTAAGAATAAAGATATTGAATTAATTTGGACACAGAAACAGAATTTTAGAGCAGAACACTGATCAGCATTTGATGAGACAGTATATCCAACAGCAGCAAAAAAAAATCATCAAAGAATGAATGAATAAACTCCCTTTACTAAATTGGTAATGTGGGGTTGTATTCCAATAGATAGACATATAATGAGGTACAGAGAGGTTAGAGTTGAAGTGATGAGAATAGATGAGTACTTGTTTGATAAAAAGAAGGGGAAAGGGAAAAAGAGAGAGAGATGAGAGGAATGAGTTTTGAGAAAATACCTCAAGTTTGGGGACTGAAGAATGAATTCTTCAAATGAATAAAGATATGTAAAAGGACATTTGTGAGAGAATCAAGAAGAAAAATATTACTGTAGTATTATAATATCAAGAGGAGAGGAAAATTCTTGGAATATAGGGATCTTTAAGAATGAAAGGAAATTAAGCACCCTGGAAATTAAGATAAATCTGCTGGCTTAAGCAAGATGGTATGATGATACTAAAGAAAGTCATATCAACAGAGGGTTAGGAAAGAGAAGTTTTGTATGTACATGCTCAGTCATATCTGCCCCTTTTTGAGACCACATGGACTGTAGCCCACCAGACTCCTCTCTCCATGGGATATTCCAGGCAAGAATACTGAAGTGGGTTGTCATTCCCTTTTCTAGGGATCTTCCCAACCCAAGAATTGAACCTGTGTCTCCAGTGTCTCGTACATTGGCAGGCGGATCTTTTACCACTGAGTCACCTGGGAAGCCCCAACCTATTAGTAATCTGTACCAAAAAGTCAGATGACATTGGGCACAGGAATGTTAACCAAAATTTCAAGACTTTTATCAATAGGAAAAATATAGATAAGTTAGAAAAGAAGAAAGTAGATTAGTTGTTGGGAACTCAGCCCTTTCACAGGAAGTTATTCCATTTAATCCTTACAGCAATATGCTAAAATGGGGATTACCATCCCACTACAGAATGAGATTATACGAAGATTTGGAGAAGATAGATAAAACTTGCTTAATGTCACAAAACTCCTGGGTCTCCATATCAGTCTTTCTGCCAGTTTTAATAAGAAAAAAGGAATGAATGGAAGCCTGATATGTGAAACTCACTAGACAATGTGACTTCCTGAGGCAAGCGCCATGTTCATTCTAAGACTCATAGTATCTCTAGTGACACTAGTATCACTAGTCTAGCATAGACGTAGTAAGTAGCTAACAAATATTGCTCATTGAATAACAAAGTTAATAAAAAAAAAATAGCCAAAGGAAGGAAACAATCATAGCTCTCTGCCTGATGTGAGCCTGAGAAACTCTAAGACTCTTCAGAGCACAATTAGAAAACACCAGAAAATTAATTGTAAAGGAGTAATTAAAATTAGAGAAGGGAAAACTTTTTTTTTTTAATTTTTGGTTTAACAATTCAAGAAAAAAAAGTTCATAGTGACTTCATGCCACATACAAACATTAATTCTAATGAATTCAATGTAAATGTAAAAAAAAAAATAAAGGCAGTTCCTTGGGAAAACATCTAGATGATTATTCTCTTCTCATGATATAAGTAGCCTTTTGAAAAGGAGAGAACGAGGTTGGTTCCTGGCTGAAAACTTCAATTCCAGCTCTGGATAGAATCACCCTCCTCCAATATGAAATTTTCTTTCATATCTCTTTCCACTTATTTATTCCTTTCTAGTTTGGTCTGTTTTTTCTTCTCACTCTCACCACCAGACCACCTTCTGACTCTTTCCCCCGTGTCTTTTGAAACCCTGAAATATTTTGAATAGTCTTTATGTCTTCAGTCTCAGCTACCCACCACAAGCTCTTCTTACTCAGAATTAATCTTCACTTTTCACTTACCTACCACCATAACAGGTTAAAGGTTTGCCTCTTTTTTCCCTTGCTATGATTTAAGTTTCTGTGTACTATCTAAGTTCATATGTTGAAATATTAATGCCCAACATGGTAGGGGCCTTCCCTGGTGGCTTAGTGGTAAAGAATCCACCTGCCAATGCAGGAGATGCAGGTTCAATCCCTGGGTTGGGAAGATCCCCTGGAGAAGGAAATGGCAACCCACTCCAGTATTCTTGCCTGGGAAATCCCTTGGACAGGGGAATCTGGCAGGCCACAGTCCACAGGGTCACAAAGAATCAGACTCAACTTAGGGACTAAACAACAATGTGATGGTATGAGGAGGTTGGGCCTTGGCAGGTGCTTAAGTCATGAGGTTGGAGCCCTCATAAATAAAATTAGTAAAGGTCAAGATTTTAGATGCATTAGTAAATCAAGATCCAATTATATGATATCTATAAGAAGGCAAGTTTAAATATGAAGACACAGGTTGGCTAAAAGTAAATGGATGGAAAAAGATATACCGTGCAAGCAATAAGTATAAGAAAGCTGGAGCAGTTATATTAATTTTAAATAAAGTAGAATTTATGAAAGGAGTATTATACAGATAAATGTCCCAAGAGACATTCAGACACAGAACTTCAGACAGAGAGCTGAAAGAAAGTGGATATTCATGGCAAAAAGAGCACAGAGCAAATGTACAGAGAAGTAAAACAGCAAGGTTCTTTGGGGAAAGGAGTAATGAGACAGGAGAGAGCATAGCAGAAGTGGCAGAAGACACT